CGCTGGTGTACTTGGTGACGGCCTTGGTGCCCTCGGAGACGGCGTGCTTGGCCAGCTCTCCGGGCAGGAGGAGGCGGACGGCGGTCTGGATCTCCCGGGAGGTGATGGTGGAGCGCTTGTTGTAATGAGCCAGGCGGGAAGCTTCGCCGGCGATGCGCTCGAAGATGTCATTGACGAAGGAGTTCATGATGCTCATGGCCTTGGACGAGATGCCGGTGTCGGGGTGGACCTGCTTGAGCACCTTGTACACGTAGATGGCATAACTCTCCTTCCTAGTCTTCCTCCGCTTCTTGCCGTCCTTCTTCTGGCTCTTAGTCACGGCTTTCTTGGAGCCCTTCTTGGGCGCCGGCGCAGACTTGGCTGGTTCAGGCATGATCAGGGTTCACCACTGCTTGGCTGGCTGCGGGGAAAGTGTGCTGGAGCCGCCCTCATGTGCTGCTTTTATAGGCGGCCTATGCAAAGGAGCTTCGTACTGCCTCACCTTTCCTATTGGAGGACGTTGACATGTGATGGAAAGTGACGTCATGCTTTTTATCCTCCAGTAGAATTTGGTAGGGAAATAAGTCTGAGTGTTATTGATTTAGTAGTAGAGAAGAGATCAATCAAAAATTACAGAACAAAAAAAAAAAAAAAAAAAACAGTTCCTGCGCTATGAATAGAGATCTCCGGATACATTTCTATGGACTTCTCGTAAGACAAACATTACTGGCTGATGGAGACAACGCCCACATCTGTGATTGGCTCAGATTCCAAATTCTGCCCGCCGGAATTGTTTAAATCGTTCCAGAAAATATTCATCCCTATTATACCGCCAAATCCGAGCCGGAGAACTAAGGAGATCATCAGATGAGATATTTATCGGCGAACAATCACCAACACTTCCATTCCAAGCAGATTTATCGATTAGTCAGCGATGTGTACAAATTGATTCTGCTGATTACTGAATCGTGTGAAACATTTCTATAAAGAATTGTTCATTTCAATATCAGATCTGTATACGATCATGTCATAATGACCGATGTGTATCTCTTTTAGCCATGTAGCAGTCACTGATCTCCCCCCCCCCCCCCCCATATCACATTCACAGTATTAGTAAAGTGAAATGACTGGCAGAAATAGTAGTGATCATGACACTGCCAGATAAATATGAGCAATTAATCGATATAGAAAATATATGTCTGAAGAATCAAATCGGTTTCCTCTTAGAAACGTGTAAACATTTTGCTGATCTCTAGTTACAATGTGATATTATCTGCAGAGGACTGCATTGCTGTGACCCCACCCCTTTCCACCAGTCTCCCATCAGGTCCGTTAGGACTTGGGAGAAACGTGGGTCATCATTATCTATATATATAAAATTATCTATATATATAATTATATATATTTATATATATTTTTCAAAGTAATATGGTATACATTTGACCTTATATATAATAGTAACTGGAGATGATGGTTTGTGTTGTGAAATGTGAAAGATGAATGTTTCTGTGTAATCTCCGAGGAAGAAATAGAAAAACCATTGAGAAGAATGAAGAGATTTCTCTCGTCATTAAGGGATCTGTAAAGGGCGGAACGTGGAGAAAGCTTCCAAATGAATCCAATTGTATTGTGTGTAAAGAATGGGTGTGACTCCGCCTCTTCCCAGGAAGGTTCCCATCAGGTCCGCTCAGGCTGTATAAAAGGAAGGCGGGCCCAGCCCAGAGCTCAGTCGGTGTTTGCAGCAGAGAAGAATCGTCATGTCTGGTCGCGGTAAAGGAGGGAAGGGTCTGGGGAAAGGCGGCGCCAAGCGCCACAGGAAGGTGCTCCGGGACAACATCCAGGGCATCACCAAACCCGCCATCCGACGTTTGGCCCGCAGAGGGGGAGTCAAGCGCATCTCCGGCCTCATCTATGAGGAGACCCGCGGAGTGCTGAAAGTCTTCCTGGAGAATGTCATCCGCGATGCCGTCACCTACACCGAGCACGCCAAGAGGAAGACCGTCACCGCCATGGATGTCGTCTATGCTCTCAAACGGCAGGGCAGGGACGCACCCTCTACGGATTCGGAGGATAAATCCTCATAACCCCCCCCCCCCCCCTTCATCGTCGCAAAGGCCCTTCTCAGGGCCGCCCACCTTCTCATACAAAGGGCTATTCTTAAACATCGAGATCATTAAGGGGAGATGATCCGAATGTGAATGTTTAGAAACTTATCTTTTCATTGTACATATGTGTTTGGCAGTCATGAGTTTTCTACAAATCACCATTCTGGATGTGAGATCTGTAACTGCTGCAAGTCTGATATATTCAGATATATTCATACAAAGGGCTATTGATTGATCATCTCCAGGGTTCTATCTGCTCCTCCTGGGGGGGAGAAGGATTGCCGCTCATTCCAGTAATGTGGGGGGGATATAACGATCTGTTAGTCATTCTATATAACGTCATGTATAGATATAGTTCTGCAATTCCACCAATGAATCTGTCCAATCACCTGATTGCATAGTGTGTGATCGGTAATCGGGATGGATCCGGTTCGGAATGCCGGATTTTGCATTCTAAGGTCTGAGTGACATAAACATGTCGGTGATCGCAATGCGCTTATAACGGTTGTGGCCGATCTGAGCCCCGAATAATGAAAGTGTTCATCCGTCTCCCGGATAAAACGGTAAATGGATGCGGTCAGATTTGGCGGCAAGAGGGCGGACGTTCCGTTCCATAGAATTCCGGCGGGAGATTTGACAATTCAGCCAATGGCCGTTCTAGGTGATACTTTCAGACAATAAAACGTTTTGTTCTTCCGCGGAGTTTGACGATCGGTTTGGGAGGATGCAGGTTCGGTATTGAAGGATCTCATGAGATCTAGAGGAAGGTGGAGAATGAAGATCAGTCCCTGGATCCGATGTCATGTTCTATTATGAGCGGGGTGATCTCTGGGATCTCTTCAGCTCTATGCTGAGTGAAGCCTTGAGACGATTTTGCATCGACAGAACTTCTAACAGAAACCATCACCAGTTACTATTCATTTCATGTTTATAGAATATTACTTTGAAAAGGAAAACCTTTTACTGATGACACGTTACTGTTACGTCCTTGAGGACCAGATGGGAGACTGATTTAAGGGCGGGGTCACAGCAACTCATTCCCGTGCAGAGAATTCCACTTACTGAGAACCTCGTACATTTTGCTGTCATTCTATATAATGGGATTAGGATCAGGCTTCGTCTCCCGAATGTCTTCAGCTCTATGCTGAGGGGAGCTTTGATACGATTTGGCATCAACGGAGCTTGAACACCCCACCGAAATCCAAGTCGTAACTGAGAGAAAATGGCTCAATCGGATTCTATAATCTATGTTTAGCAACAAATAGTTTTTTTCCTCATTTCTATAAATTTCTCCACCTGCAGAAATATACGTTCATATAGACAGCCCTTTGTATGAGAAGGTGGGCGGCCCTGAGAAGGACCTTTGTGACGATGAAGAGGGGGGGGGGGGGGTTTATGCGGATTTATCCTCCGAATCCGTAGAGGGTGCGTCCCTGCCGTTTGAGAGCATAGACGACATCCATGGCGGTGACGGTCTTCCTCTTGGCGTGCTCGGTGTAGGTGACGGCATCGCGGATGACATTCTCCAGGAAAACTTTCAGCACTCCGCGGGTCTCCTCATAGATGAGGCCGGAGATGCGCTTGACTCCCCCTCTGCGGGCCAAACGTCGGATGGCGGGTTTGGTGATGCCCTGGATGTTGTCCCGGAGCACCTTCCTGTGGCGCTTGGCGCCGCCTTTCCCCAGACCCTTCCCTCCTTTACCGCGACCAGACATGACGATTCTTCTCTGCTGCAAACACCGACTGAGCTCTGGGCTGGGCCCGCCTTCCTTTTATACAGCCTGAGCGGACCTGATGGGAACCTTCCTGGGAAGAGGCGGAGTCATGCCCATGCATTACATAGCATTTATAATGGACATTTGTTTGGTTGCAGATTCTTTGAACAATAGAAATGCATCTCCAGAAGACCATTATAATTCTTCTCTCTAAATATCTTTATATTTCTTCCTCGGAGAATACACAGAAACATTCATCTTTCACATTTCTAACATAAACCATCATCACCAGTTACTATTGCTAATAATAATGGCATATATAACAGAATATTACCTCGAAAAGAAAATATATCCCAACGCCTCACCTTTCAGATAAACTTGAGCAGACCTGATGGGAGAACGATGGAAAGGGGTGGAGTCACAGCAATCGAATAGTCTGCAGATAATTTCACTATTAGAACCTTTTAAACATTTTGTTGATTTCTAGATACAAAGAGGAATCTGATCTGCTTCCTCAGATATTATTATTATTATTATTATACAGGATTTATATAGCGATAACAGTTTGCTCAGCGCTTTACAATATAAGGGAGACAATACAGCAACAATACAGTTCAATACAAGAGGGATAGGAGGGCCTGATCCTTGGAGCTTACAGTCTAGGAGGGAGGGGCTAGTGGTACAAAAGGTAATAACTGTGGGGGATGGACTGGTTGGAAGAGTAGAAGATTCCATTATTAGGTGAGGGCAGGATAGGTTTCCCTGAAGAGATAGGTTTTAAGAGATCGCCTAAAAGTAAGCAGAGTAGGCAATAGTCTAATAGATTGGGGTAGAGAGTTCTAGAGGATGGGGCAGGCTCTGGAGAAGTCCTGGAGACGAGCATGGGAGGAGGAAACAAGGGAGCTAGAGAGTAGGAGGTCTTGCAAGGAGCGGAGAGTACAGTTTGGGTGATGTAATTTGGGGCAGAGTTATAATTGTTATATGTTATTGTTAGTGTTTTGAATTTTATCTGTTGGGCAACGGGAAGCCAGTGGAGGGATTGGTAGAGAGGGGTGGAAGACACTGAGCGGAGGCCAGTGGAGGGCTTGGCAGAGAGTAGTGGAGGACACTGAGTGGAGGTCAGTGGAGGGATTGGCAGAGAGGGGTGGAGGACACTGAGTGGAGGCCAGTGGAGGGATTAGTAGAGAGGGGTGGAGGACACTGAGTGGAGGCCAGTGGAGGGATTAGTAGAGAGGGGTGGAGGACATTGAGTGGAGGCCAGTGGAGGGATTGGCAGAGAGGGGTGGAGGACACTGAGTGGAGGCCAGTGGAGGGATTAGTAAAGAGGGGTGGAGGCCAGTGGAGGGATTAGTAGAGAGGGGTGGAGGACATTGAGTGGAGGCCAGTGAAGGGATTGGCAGAGAGGGATGGAGGACACTGAGTGGAGGCCAGTGGAGGGATTGGCAGAGAGGGGTGTCAGATACAGAGCGGTTAGTAAGGTGGATGAGTCTGGTAGCAGCATTCATGATAGACTGAAGAGGGGATAGCCTGCGATGAGGTCGGCCAATGAGGAGGGAGTTACAATAATCAAGGCGAGATATAACAAGGGAGTGAATGAGTTGCTCAGTAGTTTCCGAGGTTAGGAACGGTCGTATCTTGGAGATGTTGCGGAGGTGAAGTCTACATGAGTTTATCAGCGATTGGATTTGGGGCTGAAAGGACAGATGGGAGTCTAGGATTACACCTAGTACCCTGGCATGAGGGGAGGGACTGATTGTTGTGTTAATGATCATGATGGAGAAGTCAGGGGGGGCACAGGGCTGGAGGGAATACTAAGAGCTCAGTTTTGGAAAGATTGAGATTGAGGAAGTAGAGTGACATCCATGCCGATATGTCACTTAGTAATTCCTATGGAGCTGGTTGATCGACTAATGGATTGCAGACTTTTTCTGACTTGCTGCAGTCGCAGGGTAAATCTTGGTAAAGTTTTATTCTGTTTTATTCCCTTTTATTTTATAGTAATTAGTCATTTGTGTGTTTCCTGTATTTTTTGTATTTCTGTAACTTTTTATATTTTGTACATATTTTATGCACTGCCCACTTCCAGGATATTAAATCTTAAAATTAATTAGTGACTTCTGGGTACTTAAGCTCGGGCTCATATCTCCGGAGAGATTAGATTGTATTGTATTTTAGTGTCTTTTAACGCTCGGTCAAGCTCATTGCCAATCTATATGCAATTGCACTGTGTGTGGGCAGATTGAATGCAGATTGTAGAAGGTAACAGATCTGCAAGACGGAGAGATCTGTGTGTGGGTTGTCCCAGGGGACCGTTCTGCGGATAAAGCTGTTTGGTGGTGGCAGGTTACCTTTTGTGGTGTGTCTGGTGGGGGGGGGGGGGGGGGCAGTGGAAGAGTGATTAACTCCGGGGTTGTAGCTTGTAGGATAGCTGGAGGGACCCTAGAAGTGTGTGTGATTGCTAGGCTGCTCCTCAACTCTAATCAGTGCACCAGATTGTATATAAGATTTGTATCTGCCAGTGTGTGGTCAGCCATCTGGATTGGAGTGGAGTCTCCCTCCAGTGGTGGCCAAAAGGTAGTGCGGGCTGTGAAAGTATTTCACGGCTGGTCTTATATACGGTTTTATATATTCAAAGTTAGGTCCCCTTTACTCCCTCTTACCCCCAGTCACGGCCGCACTTGCTCGCCTCGATTAGCTAGTCGCTGTGGGTGTGGCGTGTGGGGAACTCGTGACAGATTGGTATTAGTTTTATCGATTTATTGTACATATTTATCTGGCAGTGTCATGGTTACTACTTATTTCTACCAGTCATTTCACATGTCTTGTTATGAATATTCTAGTTGTGATATGGGGGGAGGGGGATCTGTAACTGCCACACTTCTGAAAGAGAGACAAATAAATGTCAGTCAGTGACATGAACATGTACAGATCTGGTAATGAAAGGTACAATTCTTTAATTCCCATCATATAGAAAGGTAGAGATCTATGATATAAATCATCTCACTATCATGACCTTTGTGTAGCAGTGGGGGAGGGGATTCTTAGGACTAATACAATTTTATATATATATATATATATATATATATATATATATATATATATATATATATATATGTGTATTCAGTAATCATCAGAATCCATTAAAAGTCATTGAAGACTAATCGATTAATCTGCTTGGAATCAGGGGTGTAGCTGCTGGGGGTCGCGATTGCCCTCCCCCCTGTACGCAGGCAGCTGGGTGGGTGGTGGGTAGCAGTACCAGTGTCCGGGTGGCTGGTGGAGGGGGTGTGGTAGCAGAGCTCCCTGCTCTCCTGCCCTGGCTGCTATTCAGTCTCCCATTCCCCACCCTTGTCCCCGGCCAGCCCCCCTTTCTCCTGCCCCATAGAGCACCGATCAGTTCGGTGTTCCCCCTCCAGCCAGAGTCACCCCACCCCCCGAGTCACCTCCATGCAGAGTCCTCCGGTGCACACTCCTCTTGGACCAAAGAGCTTCCAGCACACAGGTGCAGTCCTATGAGAGCCCTCCCATAAGGATACCGCAGGGCCCTCCCCTGTGGACATTGCAGGATTGTCTACTAGGCCCCTCTCCCCCCATCATACACAGATCTCCCTCCCTATGGAGCGGAGGATGCGTCCCCCCATGCTGATCGTCCTGCCTGTGCTGCTGCTGAAGGAAGCCCAGGTACCATGGGGTGAGAGCTTGGAGGGCACTGTATGCTTCCTCACCGACTGCCAGGGACCCCATCTCGATTGGGGACAGGGACCCCATCTCGTCTGGGGACAGGGACCCCATCTTGCCTGGGGACAGGGACCCCATCTCATTTGGGGAAAAGGACCCCATCTCATCTGGGGAAAAGGACCGCATCTCTCCTGAGGACAGGGACCCCATCTTGCCTGGGGACAGGGACCCCATCTCATTTGGGGAAAAGGACCCCATCTCATCTGGGGGGAAAAGGACCCCATCTCTCCTGAGGACAGGAACCCCATCTCACCTGGGGAAAGGGACCCCATCTCATCTGGGGAAAGGGACCCCATCTCTCCTAGGGACAGGGGTCCCATCTTGTCTGGTGACAGGGACCCCCTCTCCCTTAGCAAAATTGACTCCATCTCGCATGGGGACAGGGGTCCCATCTTGTCTGGTGACAGGAGCCCCTTCTCCCCTTGGAAAAGGGACCCCATGACCCGTAATGAAAGGGAGGGATCTCATCTTTCCTAGGGACAGGAACCCCATCTCCAGACCATGCTGGCTGGCAGGGCTGGTGTCAGCCAGAGTGCAGGGAGAGGCAAGGGGGCAGTAAAATCCAAATCTTCAGCCACATGGGGATTTGGAGGGTGTACAATTGGGTCACTGGACGTCGGGGGGGGGGGTACAGCAGTTTTCAGTGTGGGGTGGCTGGAGGACAGAGGGAGGTCTAGAAGTATCAAATTGGAGTGTCTGGAAGATGGGGGGGGGGGGGGGGGTTGGGCAGCAATACCAGCGCAAGGTGCCTGAAGGATGAGGGGGGCTGACTTACACCTGAATAGGAGGAGTAGCAGGAGCAGCTGCATATAAAGCAACTGATCTCTGTGTTTCCCTCCTGCCTGCCTTTCTACGCTTGTGGGAGGCAGAGGAGCCTCATCCCTTGCAGGTTTCCCCCCATCCCTCTCCCCACTGCTGCAGGTGGATCTGTCAGGATTGAGAGTGGGGAAGGGGGTGGTAAATGTGTAGTTTTGCTGAAAGGATAGTCAGTGATATGTACCGATCACTGACTCTGTCCATCCATAACTGTGACATTGTAAACTGTGTTTACTATGCTCTGTACATAGCTATTCCTGTCCATTCCTTCTTTACAGATGAGGCTTCAGAGAAGGAGATGGAGGGCTTTGTCCTCAGTCTCATTTCTCTGTTTCAAAAGTGATCTGTTTCGACCCCTGATATTTCACCAAAGTCCCCTAACGGGGCTCCTAAAAAATTGTAAAAAAAATATTTAAAACATGTTGTAAAAAAAATGTACATAACAAAAAAAACTACTGATACCAGTGGTGGAACTACCAGGGTCAGAAAAGTTGTGCTTGCAACTGGGCCCTGGAGTTCCACCACTGGGCTCAGAAGGAGAGCACAAGCTGAGGGTCTCAGAATTTTGGTCTCATGAACAGTGTTCCTGTTCTTCCCCTTACCCCTATGCAAACTATGTTGTTGTTACTTTTAACAAACTTCAAAAGAGCCTCTTACCTTAATTAAAACACATATAGATGCCATCATCCAGAGTTGTAAACATCTAATTAGACTTGGCAGGATGTCTGTTTCCAGAACCATGAAAATCACTTTCCTCTGCCCTATCGTAAAACAATAATAACTCAGACAGGCTATCACACATGACCTGTAAGGCCATAAGAGCTCTAGGAATGCAGAGCGTGCCATAAAACGTCTATTCCGCATGTAAAAAATTCCACATACAAGTCATAGAATTCAACAGGAGCAGGGCACATCAATATTAGGTAGATATTGTAATTGAATAGGGAATATCATACCGAACAAATAAAGGTCATACATGACTATGTTAGCACCTAGGAAAGGGGAGAAACCAGTCTCTTCTCTCCTGGGTGACAAAGTTACACTGTGTTTGGTATCCCTGGGTATATAATTCTGCATATTATTATGCCAGTTGCTAGAATACCACCTGCACATATTAGAAGTTGCAATATTAGTATGAAACTGTAGTTGGGACTAAATTTGTTGACCTCCTAGCACCCATCCCTTAAACTGGATTATTGGTCAGCTGGTCTCTGTCCACACCCCCTTGATATCATAGAAAAGGGACTGACAGGACTTGTTAAGATTGAGCTCTCATTTAATATCAATTAAGTAACATCTTAACAGACTTGAAAGCCAAGGCAATGTTTTTGGTCAGACAATTGGACTCTGCTAAAACCAGGACTTTGCAAGTATTCTGCCTTCTTAACTCTTTCATTTTTCTGTTGCTTTATTGTTCTCTTTATGTCTTTGTAACATCCCTTTCTGTAAATATTTAAAGTGTACCATTTTGACCTTTTTAGTAATAAACCCCATTTTGAAAAGTGTTGAAACTGTCTCTAAAGCTTTTAATGCAAACTAAAGAATCCCTGTCTCTTGAAGAGTGCTCCTGTATAATAATCCTCTGAATATACCTGTCTGTGGTGACAATGTGTATTACAGATGTTTATTGTTCACATTTTTTCTTGCTAACATTGTGAAGGGTTGATGGGGCCCAAAGCTATCGGGTGGCAGTTTGGAGTTTGAAGGATTAATTGCATAAACTAATCTAACTAGGAGGGAGGGGATAGTGGTACAAAAGGTAATTAGCTGTGGGGAATAGAGTGGTAGTAAGAGTAGAGGATTCCAGTATTAGCTGGGGTCGGGGTAGGCTTCCCTGAAGAGATGGGTTTTCAGAGTGTGCCTAAAAGTGAGCAGAGTAGGTGATAGTCTGATGGATTGGGGTAGGGAGTTCCAGAGGATGGGTGAAGCCCTTGAGAAATCCTGGAGATGAGCCTCGGAGGAGGAGACAAGGGAGCTAGAGAGTAGGAGGTCTTGCGAGGAGAGGAGAGTATGATTTGGGTGGTATTTAGAGACAAGATCGGTGATGGAGTTTGG